TTGAGCTGTATAAATCAGGAAGACTTGAAGTCAAATCCTGTATTAAACATTTACTGGCTATGTAACCTTGGATGATATATCACCTAAACTCTATCAGCTTTAGTTTCATTATCTGTAAAATAAGAGGACTGGACTCCATGGCTTATAAAGTCACTTCCAGCTCTAAAGCTCTGATCCTGTGACCCTATGATATCTTGGACAGATACTGGAAATGGACAATGAGGTGGGTCCAGAATTGAACAGGATTCTCAGGGAGCAGGTTGAATTACCTTTAGGAAACTGCATGGTGTTTTAATGGCCCCAAACATCTCCCTGAATCAAAGGCCAATCCTTTTAATAATCTTTTTCCAAATGATGGTATATTACTATAAAACATGGAATACAACAGTCTTCAAAGAATTAAATTTGAACATCACCCGAAAGGCAAGAGATATGCATAGTGGGTGTGAGAAGGCTGCAACATATCACCAACCAACAACTGAACAAGAGAAATGGCATAAAGGATGTCATCAAAGATATGGCCAGAGAAGAAGGTGTCCTGGTCATGTGGTGAAAACCAAAATGGACAGCCATATATTCCATTGGTTGCCATGCAATCAAAAAATAGAGGAAGATTTCTCACCAGGTTGTACTCCAGGCTTCACCATGTTCCCAGAAACCTCTTCATCCTAGAATTCAAACCTCCACCCCTGAGGCCCCTCCTTCTGATTAAATGGCTCCTCCCAAAACTTCCATTTAAGAAAGACATCCAGGCCAGCCACCTCTTCATATTTCACAGATTGCTCTCTAGACTTCTTCATCATGCTCGTGCCCTACAACACTGAGTACCTACCTCCCTCCACTCCTTTCAGCTTCCTTTTATGTGTTATCTCCCTCTTCCTCCATTGGAATGTGTGCTCTTTGAGAGAAGGGACTATTTTTCCTTTTGCTTATAATTGTATTCCCAGCACAATGCCTGGCACTTAGAAGTACTTAATAAGTGCTTGTTGACTTACTGGAATCAAATACACTGAGTGATTCCCTCATGGAATATTCATGTAAGGGCATGGGATAAGGGGCATAATGGATGAGAAGGTATGCATGATAGTGTAAAAGCTATCATTGAAGACAGTACTTATATGAATGACATCATAAATCCATCAAAGCATAAAAGCATCAAGAAATTGGAGCTCAGACAGAATACGGTAATGGGGAGTTGGGGGGGGGAGTGGGAAGTAAGGTGACTAGAAACCTTGCTATTCAAGAATTCATTCAAGGAAGTAGAGATATTTAATCCAACAAAGAAAAATCTTAGCAAAGGTAGAATAGCTGCATTCAAATATGGAAGGATTGTCACATAAAAGAGGGGTTGATTACTTCAGCTTGTCCCGAAAGGCCAGAAGGAAGAGTAATGAGTTGACATTGCAGTGAGGCAAATTTATGTTTAGTGTAAATGTACAGAGAAAATATGCTAACAATTAAAACTATCCAAAAGCAGAATGTTCAGCCTCAGGGTTATTGAATTCCTGATGAGATGACTAAAAGGTCATCAAGTGGAGGTTGGATGACTGACCTGGTGCTGGGCCATCTCTAGTGGTCCTGATCCATGTCTGGCCACTGGACCCAGATATCTCTGGAGGAGGTGAGGCTGGTGACATTGCACAGCCCTCCCTCACTCAAACCAAAGCCAACTGCAAGTCATATCATCATCTCCCTGACATTATGGTCCTCTTCAAGACAAAGGACAAACAACAACAACAATCTAGAGGGGATTTCTGTTTAGGTATGGGTTGAACTAGATAACCCCAGCACCCCTTCCAATTCAGAGATTCCATGATCCCAAGGAACTGATATAATGTGAGTAAAGTACAAGTAGATACCAATTTACAGTACAGTTGTAGTTCATAAATATATTTGCAACTCTGCTATTGGGGGTTGGAGTCTCAAGATTGGGAAAGGGACAAGGAAAAGGGACCAAAAGATAAGGGGTAAGCATTACCATTGTCATACTAATTCTAAGAAGCACAAGAGACCAAGACAATCCAGGGGATTTGTTTCAAGGATTAAATGACTCTTTGGGGGGAAAAAAATCTAGGATTACCCCTTCTGGTTCTCACCTAAAGCCAAATATTTAGTCTAAAAGTAGACATCTTAAATTTAACAATAACAGACATTTAACACAACATTAATCTCTCCTAAGCCAGAGACTCTGAAATACTGCTAAAATATCATCTTAATACTCTACACTGACATCTATCATTTACCTTATTTTCATACTTTAAACTGAGATGTCAGTTTTGTTGTTTCTGACATTATTAACTAATCTATGATTAAAAGTAAATAAATGTCTAGCCATCTTCTCATAAGATCTTAAATTTGTCATCCTCATAATTATAGCGAAAAAAAACTTTTCTTTCCTTCCCCCATTTCTTCCTCTCTTTTTTGGAGACCCAATCCCTATCTCACCCAGGCTCAAAGCATAACAATTATGAGAAGCCACCGGATCCCACTGCTGTTTCCCCATAGGGAGTTTTAACCTCTATTTCTGTCTGATTTGGCTTTATTTGCCCTCTTAGGTAGCTTGGTGATTTCCCAGCCCTCCCCTTTTAAGAGATAACCATATTGGTATCAGATTTAGTTCTGACATCTAATTGACTTTCACCTTACTGAAGCTCAGAATTCCTGAGCATAAATGATCTACCAACCTTAGCTTCCTTAAATAGCAAGGATTTCTATTCTCTGATTATCTCTCATCTACCTGGACTCATTTTTCCTATGACTACAGGATATAGTCCTGTTGTAATTCATCTTACCAATTTAAATTACCAAAAAATTGTTCTAAAATGCAAAACATACTGCATTTATGATCGCAAGATTCCATACTCATGTCTCAAATTGTTACTTATTCATTTTTCAGTTATGTCTGACTCTTCGTGACCCTCATCTAGGGTTTTCTTGGCAAAGATACTGGGATGGTTTGCCATTTTCTTCTCCAGCTCGTTACAAATGAGGAACTGAGGCAAACAGGGTTAAGTGCCAAGAACATACAGCTACTGTCTTAAGATCAGTGCTTTATCCATAAACCCCCTAGCTGTCTCAAATTGTGTTCATGTGTGTGTTATTGTGTTGCATAAAATGTGACTTGTCTCTTTAAAATACAAATGCAAAGAAAGGTGCCAGGATGAGAAGCTAACAGTAATTATCCAGTAATGCCCAATACGGGGTGATACTTTGCAAGATCTAGAATATAAAATTTGGTTTCTAGGAAATTTATAGTTCTGAGGCATTCTAAATTTTAATTTTTACTATTCTGAAAACCTCACAATTCCCTCACCCCATTTTAGGTTAAAAAAAATTGTACTTTGTAGAGGCCTAGCAGGATAGCACAACATTAGCATCAGAATAATTACATGGAGGGGCAGCTAGGTGGCACAGCAGATAGAGCACCAGCCTTGAAGTCAGGAGGACCTGAGTTCAAATGCAGCTTCAGACCAAACACTTGACACTTACTAGCTGTGTGACCCTGGGCAAGTCACTTAACCCCAATTGCCAAAAGAAAAAAAAAAGAATAATTACATGGATGCCAATGTTTGGGGGGGGGGTTGTTTTTAGTGACAGCATCATGCTCTACTATAATCTTAATCTCCAAGATTAAGATTTCAAATGCGTAACTGGCAGTCTCTGTCCTTCCATATCCCTTGTCCACAAAATCTTCTCCAGTCCCAAATCTGTCAACTTAGTCTGGCTCACTCCTGAAAATTACTTCTTCAACTTAAAGCCCTCTAACACTATTTTTTAAATCATAACATAACATAAAAAACATAATATGTTTTGTTTTTCTCACTAATTCAATCCAACCAAGCCAATAATTTCTACTCTTCTTTCTATCTAAAAAATCCCTCCTTATTTTATTCTCCCACCCCTACTACGAGGTCAACAAGAATTTCATAGAATATACCTTCTAACATAATTGTATCTATAAATACAAATATTAGTAATTATAATCCTTTTTATTAGGAAATTGGTGTTCTGTTGCAACATATTTTCTCTAAGATTCAATAAACCACACTCAAGAATGTAATAAACCTTTTAAAGTCGCTTGTTTTTAGGGGGGAAAATTGTTAAACACTATTTCATAGGATATTACTAACTCTAAGTCATATAGTATGAATATTTCATTTCTGTTTTATGTGAAAAAATAACAATGAAATTACCATTTATCAAACCATCCCTCCAATATTATTTGCCATAGTAATTTATAGAGTTGCTGCCTTTCAGAAGTGAATAAGCTGTTTTGAGCTGAAAGATGGATTTAAGAAACGGGATTTAACCATCCCAAATTCAGAAGAAACGTTCACTGAAACACACATTTACAGTTATTAAATTAGCTAAGAGCATTTCATTAAACATTTGGCCTTGGAGATTGGCAAGCATGCAGTGAATCTTTAAGTAGTGTATATCAAGTGATTTTTCTGATTTATAAATTATTTAATAGTAAACATTCATATATTAGTATAAAATTATCCTGAATGTTATTATAACCACAAAAACTGACTCTCAAGACCCTCTAAGTCTCCCAAATTTGCATTTCCCTTGAAAAAACTTTTTTTTCATTTTTGGGCAATTGGCGTTATGTGACTTGCCTAGGGTCACGCAGCTAGTAAGTGTTAAGAGTTTGGTCTGAGGCTGCATTTGAACTCAGGTCCTCCTGACTTCAGGGCCCGTGCTCTATCCACTGAGCAACCTAGCTGTCCCTGAAAAAACTTTTGTGACTCTAAGAAGCTAACACATAGCAAAGGAAATCAATTATCTTGAAATAAATATGTATTTTTTTTTCCAATGCAAGTTTATGGATCTTTGATCTGTAGACCCCAGTTAAGAAATCTTATCCTAGGTACTTAAAACAAAATAACTACACTTGATCTGGTCAGTATTATATTGACATAATGAATTAATTTTATAACAATTTCATAACTTTTAATTGGATACCATTTTATCTATTTTTTTAAGGGAGCACTTACCTTCAAATTTGGATCCAAAATGATATTCTCCACTTGTAAAGTGTGGCAAAGAAAATATGAGAGATCCTAGTCCCATCATAAAGGATGCAAAAGCAAGCCATCTTGGTTTATGCCCTCTTTCTCCAAAGAATGATACAAATAATGACAACAAACAGAATGAAATGTCATAGCTTGATGATACCAGGCCAGTCAAGGAACTCTTCAGTTCATAGCGCTTCTCAACAGTAGATATACTAATATTTACTAGGCCATTTACTACAATACCTACAAGGAAAAAAAGAATAACGATGTGCACTTTAGAATTATGTCACCACTGATCACCATTATCAAAGCAATACCAGAAATGCATTTACCAGAAATGTATTTATTCATGTCTTTAAAATTTAGTTTGCATAGAACCCAATTTAAAGATCCCATAGTCTTTCACAAGCTCGTGTTATCCCAATAATCTGTTTTATTGACAAATATTAATTCACTACAAAATGGTAGATCTTGGTAAATATTCAAACTACATGCTAAATCAGAATTCAGCTTTTATTCAGTTTTTTCAAATATGTTTGTGTTTAAACCAGCCAGCCAGGCAAATTTCCATCATACTATGTCACTAGGTAATTTTCTAGAGCAGCAAACCACTACTTACTTACACACTCTCCCTTTGGAAGAGTTCAAATTGTATGGGTTAGCCATGGACCATTGGGGAAAAAAAATCATCACTAACTGAAACTGGAAAATCACCTTCATTTATTTCATATAGACTAACAAGAAGTAAAATGAGTGCTCTAGAGACCACTTATTTCTAGAAAACGTTCAAAGCTGCAGTAAACATTAGCAAAGCATCTTTTGTTTCAACCACTAGTAGCAGCAATTATAAATACAACAGAATCAATGAGGGGAAAAAAATGTGTCCAAGTGTCAGCTACTTTAGCCACCAACATGGGTGTGACAAAACAAAGCAGTCATTCATCTCCTAGATCTGGCAGGATTTAATTTTTTAAATTATATTAAAAGCATAAAAAGTGAAATATTTTAAATTGGAAGACTTTTTTAAATTATTTAGCCCTTTAAGGACTAATCAAATGATTCTTTTCAAAGCATAATTAAAACTCAGGTTTTTAATAGACAATATAGACAAGATCCAGATGAAAATTCTTTATCTCCTAATGTTCTACAAAATAACTTAGTTTAAAAAAATAGTGCTTGCTTAATCTTCCAGGAGTACCACGTTTTATTTTGTGACAGTAAAAAGGCCCTGCCAAGGTTCAGCACCTCACTGTTCCCCAATCAGAGGCCCTTCCACCTTGTAAAGTGTAAAGCCCTCCCTTTTCCTACAGAAGATAAATTGTGTTTTATATTTTGTCTACTTGTCAGTGAATGTAACATATTGTCAATTTTCCTTGTTTGAATATAGAATTGTAACAATACGCAGTGTACATTTACAGAGCCTTGTGTATATTTACAAGGAACTTTTTGGCAAGCACTCTTGTAACTGTATGTGTATAATTAACAAACCTGTGTACGCTTATGCCCGGGCAACTATTTTTTGTAACTTGTATAGATTATCTCTAAACAAAGTGTGGTCTTTATTTTGAAAAATACACAACTTTGGGAAAAATATTTTTTTTATCTCCTATTAACCTGAAGTGTTATAACCTGAAGTGTTATCTCACTGAGATAAGGATGGAAATATTCATTACAACAATGGCCTTAATTTAGGAAACTGAGTTGCAAGTTACAAAGCCTTTAAAGGTTGATAAATTTGATAACTATTTGGTTCTTTGGTTTGGTTATTTTTTAAAGTATTAAATCTACTTATTACTCTAAGTGGTGGATCTGATTTATGAAGTTTGGTAAAATCTCCTCCACCTTTTGCCTTTAAAAAAAGAAAAGAAAAGAAAAACGCTCCCACACACACCACCTATGCTTCAAGAGATGCTTAACAAAAAATACTAGTTCCTGTGGGTTTTTTTAAAATAAAAATATTACTGAAATAACATCTTAAGCTGTTAATCATCTATATTAGTATGAATTAATGTATCAGGTTCATCTCCAGCAATCTAAAATAATAGTGTGGAGACAATATATGTTTTAATTGAGGGTGAAGGAAACTGAATGGGAGGTAATTTTGAAACTGATATAAGAATCTTTTTTTTCTAAATCAAAAATGAGGGCGGTTAGTCTTGCCATTCTCCTTTTCCCTTTGACATTTCAAAAGATGTCATTTTTTTTTCTAGGAAGCCTATCTACTTTCACACCATATCATCAGCAGTTCGAAATTCTGATCAACATTAAACACCTAAAGGTTGCTCAGAATTACCTATCTTGCTTTAATCCCAAAAATCCAACATAAATACAGGCATTTAAATCTAAGGAACATAATTCAGATACATACAGTCTTAACCGTTTCACATGTACTTTTCTTTGAGGTTTGTTCTTTAAAACGATAAGCTTATAAATAACAGAAACCACAAGGTTTTCATTTTATCTGTACTAGAGCGTATTGGATCCAAGGCAATCCCAGTGATTTTCATTTTAAAAAGAATCATCGGAAAAGCCATAGTATTGTGGGTTTTTTTCTACCACAAGTCGTGAGGAAGGGTTCTGCTACTATGATGAACAGATAAAATGAGCTAGAGATAGTTGGTTTTTTGCTTGTTTTAAGAGCTAAAACCAAAATGTCTTTAGGAAGGATGCGGATCTTTCAAGTAGTGAAACTCAGTTCAGTTAACAAAGTTAACAACCGCTAAGTGATCCCTACGAGCCCAGCTCTAACCACTTCTTCGCGTTTCCCACCTCCATTCAATTACCAGGGGTCAGAGAGGCGCCTCTGCCCACATAAGCTTTTTTCAAGAGCTCCCTAAGGGACCAGGAGCCCGAACCCGATCTTGTGGTTACCTTGGGTGAGGGCAAGGAGGCAGTAATGAAACAGAAAGCCTTTGGGGTTGTTGCAGCGCTGCAAGCATTGGGGAGTGAAGCGTCCGCAGCCACAGGGACCCTCCTCCAGCTCCGGGGGCTGCGCTGGCGGCGGCTGGGCCAGCGGCTGGGGCAGCGGCAGCTCTTCTCCAGGACCACTAAAGACGGAAACTTCGACTTCAGCCAGAGACGCCGGCAAATGTCTGCGGGGACCCGGGCTGGATGGGACGAAAGCAGGGTTGTCCAAGCCTCCGGCTCCCTCCATGGCGGGATGAGCTCTCCAGACTCGCTCAGGGAGCTTTCAAAGTAGTCAAAAGTCACCTAACTCTCCCGGAGCTTGTCCCTAGGGTAGGGTTGGGACTGCCCCCGCCTCCGCCCCCGCCTAGTCCTGCCGGACCCGCCTCAGTGGCAGCTCTAGCCACAATCACCTCAGGGGAGGGAGGGCAGCGAGAAGGGTTAGGCTGGGACCTCACCTGTCTGCTGCGGGCTCCGCCCGCTCCTCTTCTCAGAGGAAAGGCCTCTTGCGGTTAGGCTGGCCATTAGCGTGGCCGTGACGCCTCCCCAGCCACAAGTGCATCTGACCTTTGAACTTGACTTCGTCCTTCAAGCTTCCAGTGGCTACCCGGTCCCCACTGAGCCCCTGGTCTCCGGAGGGCAGCACTACCAACACCTGAGGATGAGGAAGAGGAGGAGGAGGAGAAGGAAACAGCTTTAGCGGCTGTGATGCAACTTCTTCCCTATTGCCTATAGATGACTATAAACAGTTGAGGAACAAAGGTAACGGGAAACTCGCCCCAAAGGTAAGGATGTCCCCTCAGCCCGTTGTATTTCTCCTTCGGGACTGAAGGTGTGGGATTCATGTAGCTGGACCCCGTGGGGGTTAACACTAAAGAAGTAAACACAGTTGTAGCTTCAGGACCACATTCTGTCAGGTTTGTTTGTCTCCTCTCCCCACCCCCTCCTTTCTTGTTATAAAAAAGAAACTAGTCCAAGAGTTCCAAAGGTGTGCATTCATTTGGGATCTGCAGAGCATCACAAAAGGTCTGACCCTTTCCCTCCAGTATTCTTTCCAAACTGCTTTCTTTTGTACTTCCGATAGAATGATGAAATATAAATTAAGAAATCATTTCAAAACTGGATTATGACATCACTGATACATTTTGTATTTGCATCTAAGATTCAGCTTGTGTATTGTTCAGTATTTTCTATATCTGAGATAAAATATGTCAATTAAAAATGAAACTTTTTAAGCTAAACCTGTGTTATCAATAGAGATCTCCTAGGCTTGGAAATTCCCTATAACAAAGCAGATCAGCAACTCTTATGTCATTTATAGAGTTATTTGGATACATAGTTAAGTAACTTATGCATGGTCATGTGTCAAAATGTGTTAGACACAGAACATGAGCTCAAGTCTTTTCCACTCTGGGGCTGACCCTTTTTCAATGATACTGCCTTATGTCAATGAATACTCAGAGGAAAGTATTATTTCTGATGACAACTTTCTTGGAAATAGTCACAGTGTATATTCCATCCATTATGGAATCTTGCTCTTCACTGCCACTTCCTACATGCCTCTTTAATCAGTGACCTTTCCTCTTTTAGAGTTTGTTCCCTCCATCCATCACATCATCTAACCAGTTATCAGTCTACCCATAACACATTACTAAGCACCTTATTTGTCTCAGGCGCTATGTTAGATGATGGGGACACAAAGACAAAAGAGAAGCCATGAAAATAACATCTGTCCTGAAGGAACTTTCGGTGTAGCTGATGGAAACAGCAAGGAAATATTTAGAGGGATAGAAAAAAGGTATCAGATAGATACAACGTGATTTTGAGAGAGAAACCCCAGAAGAGTTTGGAAGAAGATACTAGGAAGAAGGAATCAGTAAAGGCTTGAAATGAGTGGTGTGAACTGAATTTTGAAGTAAACTAAAGTAAGTAAACTCTGAGATACGAAGTTAAAAGGGGAGTTCATTCTAGGCATACAGGATAGCCAATGCATTCAACATCAGGGAAATGGGAGATTGAATGTTATCCTATCCAATGGAGAACATTAAGACCAGGTGGTATGAGCTATGGTATGGGTGAAGAGGAATAGTGTATAACAAAGATTAAAAGGTAGGTTAAGGCAAGGTCATAAAGGACTTTAAATGCCAGACAAAGGAGTTTATATTTGTTTTTGTAGGTAATAGCGAACCACTAGGGGTGTTTGAGTAAGGGAGTGACGTGGTAAAACATGTATTTTAGGAAAATCATTTTGGCATCTAGGTGGAGGATAAACTGAAATAGGAAAAGAGGGGGCAATGAGACAAATGAGGAGACTATTGTGATAGTCTCACCCAAGTGATATTTTAATGAGAGCTTATACTAGGGGAGTAGTTGTGTGAACAAAGGGGACAAATTTGAAAGGTGCTGTGCAGAAACAAGATTTGGAAACTGTGGATATGTGGGGAGGTGACTGAGAGTGAAAACATTGAGTTGTGAACCCCCAAAAATGAACCCCAATTAGAAACAGTCATCTCTAAGAAAGAGACAAATGAAATTGGGCTGCATCTGTCCACAGTTTAATTTCTCTCAAGCTGGCTTTACATACACTGCATGGGAGTTCAGTTCAAAACTGGACCCCCCCTAAGGGGGCCAGTTTAGAACTGGCTCGAATTGGGATTTGGGGGGTACAGCCTTACAAGCCATTCAAAGAATAGGTGTTCCCAAGGGATGCCAATCAACTCTGGGAGGTGGCCCATATTAAAATGAGAATCTTTCAGTACTTGACCCAGGTCAGTCAATCCTGGTCAGAGACTTCAATTTCCATATCACCAGTCTTGACAATAGGGAGGAATCAACATTCTCCCAGACCTGTCTAGGCAACATAATGAACAGGAATAGACCCATTTAGATTACATCTTAATGTCCTTCTGAAGAAGGATTGAACTTAGAAAGAAAGGGGGATGGGAAGCTCTGAGTTTCCAAGATAATGAGTACTAAGAAAAATCATTTTTCACAAGGTTTAGAATGTGCTTGACTAGAAGGACCATGCTGGTCCTCAACAGTAATATGGAAGTTAGACCAAGAAGAAGTAGGAGAGGGACATATTGAGTTTCAGATGTTTGAGATAAATAGGCAAGTGGTAATATGGAGACAGAACACAGGTGAGTAGAGCTTGAAATTGACATCTGGGATTCATTGAATGGAAATGAACATTTCTAAGCCAGCCACCAGGAAACTAGGGCCTGCCAGGAAAACTCAAGGTTCAAATAAATAGTACCATTGCTAATGGAAAGTGGCATGATGATAATGAACTATCCATCAGTCAATAGTTAACCAATCAATAAGCATTTGTTAAGCATATACTACATACTAGAAATTGTTCTAAGCACTGATCATACAAAGAAAGGTAGAAAGAGGGTGCTAGACCTCAAGGATCTCATAATCTAGTAAGGGAGACGATATGAAAACAACTATGTAGATGCAAGAGAATACAGGATAAATTGAAGATAATCAACAATGGGAAGGCACTAGCATTGAGGGAGATTGGGAAAGGCTTATGGTAGAAGGTGGGATTTTATCGGGGATTTGAAAGCCAAGGAAGCTATGAGGTGGAAATGAGGAGGAAGAAAATACTAGACAGCCAGTAAAAATGTCAGGAGATAGAGTATCTTATTTGAGTAGCAGTAAGGAGAACAATGTCACTAGATCACAGACTACGTGGAGATGAGTAATGTGCAAGAAAACTATTAAGATAGAGCCAGATTGTAAAAGGCTTTGAATGTTAATCAAGGATTTTATATTTGAACCTGGAGATAATAAGGAGCCACTTGAGTTTATTGCATGAGATAGGCTGATATGGCCATATCTGTGCTTTAGAAAGATTAATTTAACAGCCAAGTAAAGTATGGATTGGAGTGAGGATAGACTTGTGGCAGGTAGACCAATAAGTAGGCTATTGAAATAATGTGGTGAGGTAACGAGAGCCTGCACCAGGGTAGTAACTATGTCAGAGGAGAGAAGAAGGCATATACAAGAGATATAGAAAAGATAAAATCAACAGGACTTGGCAAGAGATTAGATTTGAGGGATGAGAGAATGTAAGGAATAAGAATGACACCTAGATTATAAATCTAGGTGACTGGGAAGATAGATGGTAGTGCGCTCAATAGTAATAGGGAAGTTAGGAGGAGGGGAAGGTTTTTGGAAAAAAGAGCTCAGGTTTGAACATGTTGAGTTTAAGATGTCTTCAGGATGTCCAGTTTGAGATGTCCAATAGGCAGGTGGAGATACAAGCCTGGAAGTTCCGAATATTAATATGGGCTCTGTAATGACTGTAATATAATATATATATATATGTATATATATATATATATATATATATATATATATATATATATATATATATATATATATATATATATATATTAGAACTTCCTTTCCTCATCGGGGAGCAGGACAATGGAGTTACACAACAACCAACCAATTAGATTTCTGAGTCTCAGGGCTGCTTGACATACCAGTGATCCTTTGCTAGTGAACTCTGGCCAATTTGGAGGTGCCTGTAGCTGCCAGAAACGACTGAACTAGCCCGAACCAGCTCAAGGGCAATCTTGCAGCTGCAGACTTGAGAATCTCAACTTTCTAAACAACTATGGCTTATTGTGGTCTACATACACACTCCTCCCCTTAACCCCCACTCTCTCCTTGAAAGCCTCTAGAAATGATATTATCTCACTCTTTTTCCACTCCTCTTTGAGCAAGTGAGAACTCTCTCCCTCTCTGTTCCCTTGTAAGTTCTTCTCTCCCTTACAAGTTTTTCTTCTCAGACAATAAATGTTTTTCATTGGTGATCAGGAGTATTTCTTTTCACTTCCCTTTATGGGCCTGGGGGTCTTTTGTTAACTAGAGAAAGGTATGGGCTGGATACATAGATCTGAGAATCATCAATATAGAGATGATAATTGAATCCATGAGATCACCAAGTACAATGGTAGAGAGTAAGGTGAGGGCCCAGGATAGGGCCTAGCCTTTACTTATTCCTAATCTTTGATCCTGATACAGCGCTCAACATTGTTGACCACCCCTTAATTCTTCTGAATACATTCTCCACCTTCGGTTATGATTACTGAGTTCAGTCAAGTGATTTCCTGGGTCTCCTACGAAAGTTTATCCATTCTTTCTCTCTATCGGTATTTGGAGCCTGGACCTTCTGTCTAAACTCAGTGATCTCGAACAGCTCCTCCATTTTAAGCTTTCTCCTCTATGCAAATGATGCACAGATCTCCATATCTAGTAGTTTTTCTTGGTATTTTTAATCTCCCAATTTCTCCTCCTCATTCTTCCCATCACTCAGGATTATAACCTTGAAATCATCCTCATCTCTTTTCTCAGCCTAAATCCAATCAATTGCCCAATCTCTTTAAATCTACCTGTTGAGATTTAGGTGTTTAGGGGTGCTGGGACCCCAAAATATCAAGAGCAAGAGATGAATGAGAGTCTTGCCTGAATGAATTCAACCGAAGCCTTCTTTCAGCCCAAGACGAAGTTCATTAGAACATCTGCCATATTGGCCAGACTTTTAAGGAATCCGAGCATTAGTGACCTATGGGCTGGATTATAAGAATCTGAGCCCTTGGCTACACTCTTAAAGAATCTGAGCATTAGTGAGCTATTGCAAGCAGGCCAGATTTTAAGAATCTCAGTATTTGGCTAGATTTTAAGAATCTGAGCACCTTAATAGAAACAAGATGGACCTTTTATACAGAAAAACTGTGGGAGACATCTAGGAGTGGCCAGGTAGTTTAGGGTGCCTGG